GAGCTCCTGGGCATTTTGTAAACCTTTTTAATTTGCCAACAACAATATGAGAGATAGGTATCACCCACACTTTGCAGATGGGGACACTAAGACTTGAAGAGTTGATCCAAAATCAAGCGATTAACATGATGACATTGATATCATTCATACTTTACTCTCAACCATGAAATCTATCTCCACCCTTTGTTCTGTGGTGCATAGGGAAGGAAATGTATGGCCAGATAGGGTTAGGAAATGCTGCATACTGGACTCACTCTCGGACATTCACAAATGCTCATCAGCACATTAAGAGTTTTGAGAAGTATTACAGAAAAAATTACAACACACATTAAAAAGTTGAACTATATGGGCCAGCCAAGTGGCTCAGTTGGTTAAGAGTTGGCTTGGAAGTGCGAGCTCTGAGCAGCAGGGCTGCTGGTTCGGTTCCTACATAGGTCAGTGACGCTGCGCCCTCTATAGCTAAGATGGTAAACAACAGCTCCACCTGCAGCTGGGCTGCCATGAGTGGCCAGCAATGGCATAGGCTGCAGTGGGGCTGCAGTGAGCCGCCATCCAATGGCTGGTGACCAACTGCCTCAGCCAGGAAGAGCACAATGATCATAATCACATGGGCCAGTGAAGCGGCGTCCTCCACAACTAGACTGAAGAACAAAAGGACAGCAACTTGTCTGTTCCCCTTCCACGATTCCCCAACGCTGTTCCCCTCCTCCATTCCTCAATAAAATCTTTTTTAAAAAAAAGTTTAACTTTATTCCAACAATTTGACCATTAAATCCATTTTTCCTGGAGCAGCTACTAAAATCTTGAAGTTTCTAATGGGGCAATTTGAGTAATGCTTTACAAATGATGACGTTTGGGACATGCTACCCCAAAATGTGGCACCTTAGCACATTAAATAATTTAAGCTGAAGGAGTTTGAGAAAATAGTAGAAGAATGTCATTCTGGCCTTTCCCCCTACCACTGCCCCTCTCCTCTGAAACAGGTCATAACACCCTCCTGTGAGAGGTACGTTCTTACCACCAAGGACAAATGGGACGCTGAGAAGAGTTCAAACAAACAAGACTTGCTGTTTCCCCTGTTTTACTACACTCACCTCATACTCCTTAGCCTATCATATTTCTCCATAACTGTCCACTCTTCATCACATCTAGCACAAAATACTCAGATCTAACTGTTCCTTTGGGTCTTCCTTTCCTTATGAAGGCTCCAATATCATGTAAAACTTACATGAAATACATTTGTATACTTTTCTCCTGTTATCTGTTTTTGTCAGCTTAATTTTCAGACCCAGCCAGGACCCTATGAAAGTAGAGGGAAAATTTTTCTTACACTACACTATAATATAGTATTTCCTAATATAAAAGTTATTTATGGAATGTCTATCACACACTCAATCTTACGTTGCACATGAGATGCCTTAACATCTCATGTAAATCCACACGGCCATGCTATGAGATATATACATGTATGCTACACATTTATCTCCCCCACCAGAGGGCAACAAACTCTCCTTCCAGACTTCCCTATAAGTTCACACACACACACACACACACACACACACACACACACACACACACACACACCAGTGTTTCATACAGTACAATGTATGCAATGAGGAGGTAGGATACCAGCAGTAGCAAAACACAAAGGAGAGAGTATCCCCTCTCTCGCAGGAGGTCAGGGAAAGATTCCTCCACAGAAGAGGTGACGATTGAGTTGACTTTTAAAGTTAGAGGAGGTAGGCTGATACAAAAGTTCAGGTGAAAAATCACAAAGGCATGAAACAACTTGGGAGGAATTAAGAGTTTAGTGGTTGTGCGAACCATGAGAAAACGAACTGAAATCCATTGTATTATCGTTCTTTCTTTTAGACAAGGTATTTGGACTCTAAGCTTACCCTACCGTTGCTAAGAGTTTGGTGATTCAGTTTACAGCTCCTCCTTTGGGAAGTCGAAACACTTACGTGCCCAGCATTGCAACATCATTCTGGTTTCCAAGACGTTCACAGTCAGAATACATAAAAGTAAAGAATGTGGCTAGTGTTGTAGATCTTAAATGTTCTCATCCCCAAAAAGAAATGGTAAGTGTCTGATGTGATAAAGGTGTTAGCTACCACTGTAGTGGTAATCATTTTGCAACAAATAAGTGTATCAAATCAAGAAGTTGTACACCTTAAACTTACACAATGTTAAATGCTAATTGTATCTCAATAAAGCTGTAAAAATTAATAATATAGTAGACAACAGACTTTTTATTTTTTTTAGCTGAGCCATCATGCTACCTGTTGGCAGCTCAGCAGCAACTCAGCTCGGGCTGGGCATCAAACCACTGTTGCTCAGAGCTCGCACTCTTGCGCGAGCTCTTAACCAACTGAGCCACTCAGACGGCCCAACAACAGACTTTTTAAAAAGTAAAGGAAAATAGTACCCTATCCCTTACTCTGTACCACTCAGTCCATACTGTATAGTTAAGAGCATGGTTTTGGTATCAGGTGTAGGTTTGAATGCCAATTTCAAGTTACCAAAGTTTCCCACCCTTGGTTTTCTCATCTGTCAAATGGAGCTGTTGTGGCTGGGCTAAGCACAGTGCTTCTTTACCCATGGTAAGTGCTCAATAAATGGTAGTTGTTACCATCTTTATATTAGTGAGATTTTTTTTCCATTTTTCTCTCCCATATTTCTTCTGCTTTGTCTTCCTACCTAGAGACGTACTTTGATGACAAAGACAATTTTTTATTTCTTTTGTGTCACCTACAGCTGCAAGTACAATGACTATACCTAGTGGTTAGATACAACGGTAGGAATCAAATACACTGGACCCCATGGACAGGTTTTCACATTAGTGTATATGAATAACTTTGTATAAGTGAATAAAATATTATGATAGATCAAATATATAGAAATAGTTCATCCAGGTATAATAATAAAAATAAAATTAAAGAATAAAGGATGTTATCTTCTTGAATCATGGCTGAACTACTGATTTATCATGTAAATATAATTGATCAGTCAAAAAATTCTTTTTGGTTAAAGTATTTAGAGAATGATACCACTGTCTTTGACAATGCTGGAAAAGGGACAATTAAGTGTTTTGTTCATGAGCAAGAGTCTCAAAAATAAAGATTGATCCTTAATATTCAAGCCTGTAAGATATCAAGCAGTAAACCTCGATATTACATTAAGGAAATTATTTTAAGTAAATCTAAGAATATTGCTGATATTTTCCTGCTTTGCTTGTCTAATTGCAAACTGAATACTGCTTCTGACAGAGCTCTCTTTGGATAAAGTGATGATAAGATAAACTTAATTGCTTAGCTTGAACTTAAAAATCATAGGAGAAAAAAGAAAAAAAATTCACAGGAGAGAAAAAGCTCAAAGAGCCTTGAGATTCTCAGAATGCTTAAAGAGATTGTAGATTTGTAAAGCTGCAAATTAAACATATTAAACTCTCGTTGTGTTATCACCAAAAATCCCAAAGGAGAAATAATCTGCCAAAGCATCCGAATAAATCAATGTAACTTCTAGGGAGCTCAGTTGTTAAGAGAACATGCATAAGCATACTGAAAACAGCTAGAGAAATATTAAAAGAAATTTATTTTGCTTGACTATCTTTGTGGGNGCCGTGAGCACCCATCCAATGGCCGGCAACCTATCTGCCTCAGGATCATGATCACAATACCAACATGGGCCAGTGACGCGACGTCCTCCACAACTAGACTGACGGATAAAAGGGCAGCAACTTGTCTGCTCCCCATCCCCGATTCCTCAACGCTGTCCCCTCCCCCAATTCCCCAATAAAATCTTTTTTAAAAAAAAGATGTCCACATCCTAATCCCCAGAATCTGTGCCTGTGTTAGGTTACACTATAAAGGAGAAATAAGGTTGTAGATTGAATGGAGGTTGCTAATCAGCTGACTTTAAAATATAGAGTATTATCCTGTATTATCATTGGGGCCCAAGTAATCACTGAGGTCCTTTAAAGTGAGAGAGGAAGTCAGGAGACCAGAGTCAGAGTGAGATGTGATAACAGAAGAATGGTCAGAGAGAAGTCACATTTAATGGCTTTAAAGATGGAGAGAGCGCACCACTGAGCCAAGGACGGTGGCTAGCCTAAAGCCAGGAAAAGGCAAGGAAACAGACTTCCCTCCAGGAGCTTACTGGAGGGAAGGCAGCCCTGTAGACAGGTTGATTTTAGCCCAGTAGGACTTCCAACTTACAGAATTTTAAGACAGTAACTGTATGGTTTTAAAGCCACTATATCCTTGGTAATTTGTTATGCCAGCGAACGAAAACACCAATACAAATCGCCTCCACCTATCTACTACCTATTTTCCTAATATACTCATATCATTGCGGTGCCAGGCCTGATAGAATCGAATCTTCCCCATATGCATGCCTGGCAGCAAAAAGAAAGAAATATGGGAAAGGAAGAAAGTGGTGATTAGTAAAATGGTGATACACATTTATAGTTTTGTAAAACCTTCTGTACGCTGTACGGACAGGAAAACATCGTGTTCTCCTTTGGATGTCTCTTTCAAGACTATCCCTGCATATTCTTCAAAGTAAGGCACGACTGCCAAACGCTGCACCAGCCAAGGAGAGTAAATCCCCTAAAGGAATCGGTTTTCTTAAGAACCATCTCTAGAGACGCTACATGAACAGTGGGGAAACACAACCCATTTTAAGTTTCAGTTTCCTGGAAGAAGCAAAGCAAACTAAGGAGACCGGGTCAGAGGCCAGGCGGGCCAAGAGAAGGCATAGTGGGCTGGGGAGCAGGCGCGCCCCCTCGCCGGCAGTGTCGCCGCAGCCACGCGGGCGGCGGGCGGCGGGCGGCGGGCAGCTCAGGTGCGCGGGGGGCGCAGGGCCGCCGCCCCCGCCCCGGGCCCTCGGCGGGGCAATCCGCCCGAGCCACATTTCCGCCCCCCTCCCTTCGCACCCAGGGCCTCTGGCCCGGGACTGCTAGGGGCAGGGGTGCAGCCGTGTAACGGGGTCCCACTCACCCACTGAGCGCCGCGCTCCGAGGCCCAAAGTGCCCGACCTTCCCCGGAAACTTCGTGCGGCCGCGCGTGGGAGGAGCGCCGCCTGAAGCCCGGGAACTGGGCGGGACCCTGCGGGTTCTCGAGGTTGGAGCTGCCTTATCCCGAGTGGGTGTCGCTCGGATGAACAGTTTGGGTCCTTAAAAAAGAGAAAAGAAAACTCCGCTCAAGTGGTGATTGCCTTTAAAACTAACCATTGCTCGGAATACCAGACCTGGTGTCGCCAATGATTAAATCGCTAACAAGTTAAAATGCTCACTTTCGATTTCGTTGTTTGGTTTTTGT